ATGGTCTTTTAATGTTTTTCCTGAGGTAAATGCGACATTATTGATCAGAAGCTGTTTTATTGACATCTTTCTGTGGTTGAATCACTGATTGATCGATTACATGATTCATGATTGATTTCAGCGAGTTGTTCTGATTCTTCTGATGTTCATTCGTGTTTATTTGCTGCTATAACCTATAACAAAGAGGATCTGACACCACACATTAAAGAGCCACAAAAACACATTTATTGTTTAAATTTCATGATAAAACTGACAGAATTTGAAAGCTGGGACTTTGTTTCATTGCAAAATTAACAAATATATGCAGTATATTACATATTCATTATTTTTTAACTAACCTGTTAGTACTCTTTAGTTTAATTGTTTGCATTTCAACAACTAAAACATCATTATATCATTTAAAAATATATATAAAAATGTGCAATTTAAATGTTTGTATGCAGCTGAGTGTTGATAATTAATTGCATTTGATTATTAAATAAGCTTTATTTTCAGTTTTCGGAATAAAAGAACATTTTAATTTCAAGCTGATTTACTGACGTCTTTCTGCGGTTGAATCACTGATTGATGGATTACATGATTCATGATTGATTTCAGCGAGTTGTTCTGATTCTTCTGATGTTCATTCGTGTTTATTTGCTGCTATAACTAGTAGTAAAGAGGATCTGACACCACACATTAAAGAGCCACAAAAACACATTTATTGTTTACATTTCCTGATAAAACTAACAGAATTTGAAAGCTGGGATTTTGATTCATATCAAAAGTAACAAAGCACAAATTAAATTCATTTAACAAGACCAACTCTTTAAGGCATCATTTATCTTGTAATTATGAATAACATGTTGGTGTGGCCTTTTGGAATATTTAAAAGATAAAAAAACTTGGGAATGAAGGCCCAATGATTAGCCACATACATATAGATATTGTCACAGTAATCCAACATAGACGAGAAATAATGTGCAGATGCTGTCAGTTGTTGTGAAAGTGTTTTGTGTGTGTGTGTGTGTGTTAGTCTCTGAGGAAGGTGGGTAAAGACTCCACAGTGCTGCTGATCTGTGTCACCGTGTTCCTGTCGTATCTGCCCGAGGCCGGACAGTATTCCAGCTTCTTCCTCTATTTAGGACAGGTACGTGTTACGAAACGCTGCTCACAACCCATTTCACTTCTGCAGTGTGCTGTATGTCAGAGTAAAACAGGGAATCTAACAGGAAATCAATGTAGGGTCAGATGTGGACTTGCAAAAAGTGATGCTCTTCCTCAATATTTCTGTCTTGTTTTCCAGTACAAATATCCAAACATTCTTAAATCGAGATACATTTACTGGAGACGCAAAATGTGACGCTGCTGATCCAGGGTCACATATGACTTATGATATTTAGTCTTGTTTTCTGAAAAATCCCTTTGGATTAAGTTTGTTTTTCTGACCCCATTGACAATTTTATTTGTTCCTGTTTTAAGCATAAACTCACTTAATTTAGATGATTTTCAGAAAACAAGACTTAATATCAGTTATCAGTAAATGCATCTTGATTTCAGAGGTATTTACACTGAAAAACAAGACTTTTTTTTTTTTTTTTTGCTGCATGACCTTCCTTGAGATGAATTGATATGAATAATGACACTTTTGTCTTCTGTAGAGCAGCTGAAATTGAATTCCTTTCATAATTAATGAATTTGCAACTGTTATTTACACTGAAGCTGACCCAATCTTTATCGCATAGAGTGCTAAAGAAATAAACGTGACTGGCGTTAGAAGCTGTGCGTTATGTTTCAGGTCATTAACTTCTCGTCAGAAGCGATTGCAGCGTTTATTGCGATGGTGGGAATCCTGTCCATCGTAGCACAGGTACGGACCTTCAGCTCCAGACACTCATTTCTGAGATGATATACAGCTGTTTTTGGAATCCTTGATGATGGTTTGCGTTTGCAGACGTTACTGTTAAGCGTTCTGATGAAGAAGATTGGGAATAAAAGCACAGTTCTGCTGGGACTGGGATTTCAGTTGTTCCAGCTGGCTTGGTACGGCTTTGGCTCTGAACCATGGTGAGGAGGATGGAATGGAAAGTGAGCTCTGTTGTGAGTTGCGGGGTTTAAAGTAACTCTGTTTGTTGAGCGCAGGATGATGTGGGCAGCCGGTGCCGTCGCTGCCATGTCCAGCATCACCTTTCCTTCTGTGAGCGCGCTGGTGTCCCACTGCACGGATCACGACCAGCAGGGTAAGAGATGAAACACAGCAACATGCTCATCAATAATGCACAAAATCATGATCTTCCTCTGGGGATTTTGTCTTGTTTCCCAGTGCAAATGTCTAAAGATTCTTAAATGTGACCCTGGAGCACAAAACCACTCATAAGGGTCAATTTTTCGAAATTGAGTTGTATAAACCATCTGAAAGCTGAATAAATAATCTTTCCATTGATGTATGGTTTGTTAGGATAGGACAATATTTGACTGAGATACAACTATTTGAAAATCTGGAATCTGAGGGTGCAAAAAAATCTAAATATTGAGAAAATCATCTTTAAAGTTGTCCAAATGAAGTTCTTAGCAATGCATATTACTAATCAAAAATTACGTTTTGATATATTTACGGTAGGAAATTTACTAAATATCTTCATGGAACATGATCTTAATATTCTAATGATTTTTAGCATAAAAGAAAAATTTATAATTTTGACCCATACAATGTATTTTTGGCTATTGCTACAAATATACCCCAGCGACTTAAGACTGCTTTTGTGCTCCAGGGTCACATATCAAGATGCATTTACTTGAGAAGCAACGTGACTTAAGATATTAACTTTTGTTTTTTGCAAATGTGTGTCTCTGTCTCTCTGTGTGTGTGTGTGTGTGTGTGTGTGTTGTTTCTAGCATTAGCTTTAGCTTTAGAGCTCTGTTCGGATTCATATTCTTCCTCTTCAATGTGGAACTGAAGGAGCTGAGCCCCGTGGAGCCGAACCCCGTCACGCCGGACACTGAAGAGGTCAGAAATCACTCTGTATGAAGTGTTTGTTTCTGTGTCTTTCTGTACAGTGCTTGTCTTTTGTCTTTCAGAAGTCTGTTATTCCAGGTCCTCCATTCCTGTTCGGAGCGTGTTTGGTTCTTCTGGCTCTGCTGGTGGCGGTGTTCATTCCGGCTCAACACGCTCCGGCGGTGAAGACGTGCAACACGCGTGTGATGACGGAGTCTGCGAGCGGCGTCACGGAGAACGGATCGGTTCCTGTGAGCGACGAAGACAACGAGCCTCTTTTACAGGAAAGCAGTTTATAAGCTGCTGGTTTGGGTTTTATTCCAGCAGTGTGTCTGACAAAGCTTTTTATTGAATGTCTAAATGTCTGTATTTTTTATTTTTTTTATCCTTCGGTCTTTGAAAGAGAATGTGCCTTCTCCACATTTTGGCTTGCACTGCAAAAAATCAAGTTCTTCCGTATTTTTCAGTACAAATCTCTAAACAGAAGCAAAATGACTTAAGATATGAAGTCTTGTTTTCTGGACAGTTTATGCTTAGAACAAGAATAAATGTCTGCTAATGGGTCAGAAAAATAATCTTGTTTTCCCTTTGGATTTTTGGCAGCTATTTGTTAAAGCAATAATCCCCGTGAAGCCGTGGTTTACAGTGAATTTATAACAGCTAAGGACTTCTGGTCGTGCCTAACAACGCCCCTTAGCTGTTATAAATTCTCTGTAAACCACGGCTTCACGGGGATTATTGCTTTTATAAAACGGTTATTCCATATACGTAGTAAGGTTTCACAAAATAAAACAGAGCAAATAAAGTGTAATGATATTAATAAAAACAGTATTCTTCCACCAAACAATGTAGTTCCTCAGAAACAGTTGTGGTTGCTACAAAGTGGTTGCCGAGCAACACACAAACGTAAACAACGGTGTATGTTACTTTGTAGTCATTTACAACAGCTTCGAATGCGGCTCAGCCAATCAGAATCAAGCACCGGAACTATCTGCTTTATAATCTTGTTTTAAGCATAAACTCACTTCATGTTGATACATTTTTCATGAAACAAGACTTAATATCTTAAGTTATTTTGCTTCACAAGTAAATGTGTCTTAATTTAAAAATCTTCAGACATTTGTACTGGAAAACGACAAAAATGATTTTTGCAGAGTAGTTCGTGTATTTGAATGTAAACTGTAGTCTTTTACTGTATTACTGATGAACTTTAACCTCTGCGCTAATCTTGTACAGACTGCAGTAGTAATAATGTCATAGTTAAGAGCATTTAAACATGCAGGGCATGTACAGCCAGAGCGCAGCGTCTTTCTTTTATCGATAAAAGGCACAAAACAGACATAAGTGCACTGTCTTTAGGTCAGGTGCGGCTTTGATAGATGAAGTATTACGAAGAAAATAGTATTTCATCTGTAACTCATATATGAGCACCAGCTACTCAACACAGAGCTGCTACCTCACAATTACACACAGACTTGATTTAAAGGAAGAGTTCAGCCAAAACTGAAAATGTGTTCACTCTCAGTTCATCCTAGATTAGTATGAGTTTGTTTCTTCATCAGGTTTGGAGAAATGTAGCACTGCATCAGTGTCTCAGCAATGGATGCTCTGCAGTGAATGGGTGCCGTCAGAATGAGAGTCCAAACAGCTGATAAAAACATCACAATAATCCACAAGTAATCCACAGCACTCCAGTCTATCAGTTAACATCTGGAGAAGACAAATGCTGAAACAAATCCAGCATTAAGACCTTTTTGGACTGTTCTGGACTGTTTAAACGCTGCTTGATCTGTGCAGATTTCTCTCCTGATTCAGAACACTTTTTCACTGGAGGAAGAGTTATTATGGATTATGGACTCGTATTTTAGTTAAAAACGTCTTAATGCTGGATTTGTTTCAGCTTTTGGCTTCTCCAGATGTTAACTGATGGACTGGAGTGCTGTGGATTACTTGTGGATTATTGTGATGTTTTTATCAGCTGTTTGGACTCTCATTCTGACGGCACCCATTCACTTGCAGTGAGACACTGATGCAATGCTACATTTCTACAAACCTGATGAAGAAACAAACTCATCTACATCTGAGGATGAACTGAGAGTGAACACATTTACAGTTTTGGCTGAACTCTTCCTGTAAGGCATTTAATGTTTCTGTGTTGCCGATGTCCTGAAATAATTTCCAGAGGACCGAATCAAATGTTTTTGAAACAGCTTTACGGATTTATCGTTGCTTCCTCTTACTGACTTCTGTGCTATTTAATTTTATTTCATTTAAAAAAATGTATTTTTTGCATGTTAAAAGCGGAGTAAAACAATTCTCGGAAGTTCATTACGCATCACGACTCAATTAGCAGCAGATTATCTGATTGATTGCATTTTATCATGTAACACACTGCAGCAATAACAGCCTAAATCCATGACGATTTCTGCTTTATCGTGCACTAAATTAATGCTTTTGAGCAGCACAGAGCAGAGGAAACGTTCCCAATTCTGGGGACCTGAATATGATGCATACTTGAAAATGATGTCAAAGCAGAAGTGTAGATGTAATTCTATTTATGCAGTCGGTGCTGTAGATCAATGCACACTGACTCCAGAAGCTAAAGTTACTTTAGGTGTTTTCCGATGAACTGCACTTTGTTTTTTAATGATGTTTCGGCTCTAGGTGCCATTCTTCATGTCTATGCATTCATTCCTTGAAGACTTTATTAAAGAGATTTTATCGATGCACATTAAGCATGTTTGTTACAAAAGTTCGTTGAGATATTAATTGATCAATGTTTCAATAAACCACTTCATATTCCAGGTTTGGATTTATATTGTTTCCCATCGACAGAGAAACGCAAGTGTTTGCATGTCGTATTTATGGCTGAAGGCAAAATAGGAAATTGGAAATTTAATTTATTTAACTGAAATGAATTAAAACGGCACTCTTATAAAATATCGACTTCAAGACAGAAAAAGGTTCAACGTCATGCTGTGAAACATTTGGTCAAACTAAACAATGGAAATCTTCACAGAAAACCAAATAAAAGTGGGTTCGGGATCAGAACTAGTAAGAATGATAAATGCAGTCAAAAAGGAAAATATGATCTTCAACCCTACTAACTGCCAGCTGTTTTTCTTGAATAATAGTAAACGCTGCTACAAAAGAAACCTTTGGATACTAACAGCTTCTCAACGTGGCATCCAGTGTAACCTGCGTTTTAGTTTTAATTGAACTCTGAATGAGAAAACTAATAAACAGACTCCAGTGGAAGCGTTTAAAACGCACTGATATCAATCTGTGTCATATTTACAGTCGTGAAGCAGACGTTCATGCGCTTCTACAGCAGGCAGCTCAGGGAGACTTTAGTGGTGTATGACGGCTGAGTCTCTGAAAAAGAGTAATTTGAGGAACCATTAGCTTAAGCTTAATATCTGCAAATGATGCACAAACCGTTTTCCAAATGAAGCGCTGTATTTAAAGTTCTGTATGATGTTATCAGTGTGTACAGAATGATGCACTGAAAAAAAAAAAAAAGGTTTTGCATTTACTTTGAAACTGCTAGTAAATTTCACCGGTAATTACAAAGAAACAGAAAGTGTAACATTAAATTAAAGGGGTCATATGATGCGATTTCAATTGTTCCTTTCTCTTTGGAGTGTTACAAGCTCTTGGTGCATAAAGAAGATCTGTAAAGTTGCAAAGACTAAAGTCTCAAATCCAAAGAGATATTCTTTATAAAAGTTCAGAGTTAGCCACACCTACCTAAAACGGCTCGTTCTAACACGCCCCCACATGTCTACATCACTATGTGGGAAGATTTGCATTACGCCGCCCAAATGTTCACGCAAAGAAAGAAGGCGTAACTTTTATTCTCGCTGTAGTATTGTTGCTGCTGCCGTCATGTCGTGAAGAGCTGTGTTTTTCGTTGTGAAAGCAAAACTACTTTGTTTGGTCTTCCAAAAGAGGACA